CTGGGATGAAAGGAAAGAATCCGCAGCAGCCCTAGGAACCAGGGCAGGTGGCAGGAGGAATGTGCCGTTGGCAGCTTCCTGGCCACTAGCCCTCACCCCCAGGCCAAAATATTTTCATCACCTCTTGGTCTGGGTGTTAATGATGCAGGGAAGGCAGCCATCTGAGCCTGGGAGGAGGGCCTGAAGCCCTGAAACGCAGCCCAGCAATAACCGTCTTACCCCCTTCCCAGGCCTCACATTGGCCACGTGAGGCAGCCAAGCTGGGCTGCTGGCCCATTACGGGGTGAGGAAACTGAGGCCAGCGAAGATCCTACAGGGAATAAGGCGTGGGGTCTGAATTACTCCCCCAACCAGGCAGGGAAGATCAAAGTGTTCCCTGGGAAGAGGTGGGGCAGCACTGACAGGCACCCTGCTATTTCGCTGGGGAAAATCGAGGCTCAGTCAGATGGATTGAGCATCCTAACAGAGGGTGAACTTGGCAGAAGGAAGGAGGAGGCAGGAAAGGAAGAGAGGTAGGAAAACTGGTGTCACTGAGGACGTCAGGATGCTCCAGACTGGTCTACCCCATTCTAAAGGGCAAGGTGGGGTGTCAGAGCTGATACCCAGAATCCTCACCAGAGTGAACATTGGTATAAACCATCCTGATGGTCTAGGCTCCTCCTATCCCAGAAAAATAACCCCGCTGCCCTTAAGTGGTCCTTGTCCAGTTCCTCAGACTCTTCCCTGACGGTGCTACCTCCCAGGTGAAGATCAGATGGGCCAGCACGTGTGCATGGCCAAGGAAGGCACCGCCGAGCACACAGAAGAATGCTGGCTGCTGTCCTGACAGCCGGGTCCCCAGCCAGTTCAGCGGTGACCCTGGGGACGCTTGCTGAGTGGAGGCTCAGCACCGTCCCTTGCTGTGGTCTCACTTTCATGCTCTGCTGGTGTTTTCCCTTCTTCCCTCTGCTTTCCCTCAGGGTCACCTTCACAGGGATAATCCCAGGTTTGTTGTGGGAGGAGACAGTGCTGTAAACATGTTTATAGCCAATACAGGTGCTGCCCAACGGTCAGCCCCACCTACAGACCCCGCAGCTGCCCCATCCTCGCGGGGCCCAGGCCCCAGCACACCTGTCCTCCCAGTCATCTGGTCACTGGCCATCTGGTCATTGGCTGAGAACCTGCTTGGCAGGGCAGTCAGCGAGCGGAGAAGGTCTGGGGGCCCAATCTCAGGGTGAGGATGACTGTCCTGGGGAGCTGAGGGACATGCCTGGGCCAGGAACACAGGGTCTGGCCTTGAAGCCCTGAGGGAGAGGTGGGGCCTTCTGCACTGTGGCTGGGGGATTGGGCAGGAGTGAGGGAGGACAGGAGGGCCACCAAGGGGACGTCCCAGCCCCTCACAGCCACACTGGGGACCTTGAGAGGTTCACCACTCCTCAAGAGCCTCAGGTTTTCACGTTTCTCTGGGACCATGACGTCTACCATCTACTGAGGGCTCACCAGGCACCTCCTGAGCACTTGAGAGGCATGGTCTCATCCAGTCTTCATAAGCTATTAGGTATATATTATAAACCTCATTTTATTGATAAAAAAATTAAGGACCAGAGAAGGTAAGACTCTTGGTCAAAGTAACACAGCCTGCCAAGGGGAAGTCCAGTCTCAAACCCAGAGCTGGTTACACCAAAGCCAGAGCCCCTCATCCCTGTGCTATGTGGTCTGTGCAAGTGGATCCCGAGCCTTCAGGGCACCCACAGGGTTCAGTTCAATTCAGTTTCAGTTCCATCCTGTTCTACCAGCACTACTGCCACTTGCTTTCACTAAGTCCCAGGGACAGAAACATGAGTGGGCAGAAGCCCCTTTCCTTGAAGGACATCCCAGTCTGGGTGAGGAGCCTGAAACGCACACAGCTACTCACGTAAGGAATGCTGGGACCTGAGCGGTGCACATCCTTTGGGAAGGATGCAGAGGAGAGGTGGGGATGGGGATGGGTTCTGCCCCAGGAGGGAGAGCAGGGCCAGTTCAGGCTCCAGGGAACAGGTGGAATTTGAGCCTTGAGGGATGGTAGAGAAGGGAAGGAGGAGCATTAGGCAGATGGCGTGGAGAGTAGGTTTCCAGTGCCGTAGGAAGTGGGGGACAAATTGGCTGAAAAAGGCCTCAAACATCAGGCTGAGGAATCTGGCCTCATCCTGTGGGCAGTAGGGAGGCATGGAAGGTGTAGGAGCAGGGGTGTGTCTACCCTGAGCGCCAGCAAAGGGAAAGACACAGGTGGATGTTCAGCGCATCCTTGCTGCCTCAATTTATTGAGGTGCGTAATTCTCGCATCCTCACCAGGGTCAGAATGACCTGCGACTACTAGACGATTCCTGCCTGGAGCGGAAGGCCCTACAGCTACACCTCCTCTCCACCATTTAGTCCTTTTCTGGGAGGATGGGCAAACTACTCAACCTCTCAGAGCCTCCGTTTCCTCCTCTGTAACATGGGGTCGCACACCAACCTTGCAGGTTTTGACGGTAAAATGAGATCAGGTGAGCACAGCACAGGGGGTGATTACAAGTTTGGTTACATGTGCGGACCGGCAGCACTGCAGAATGAGCACGGGCTCGAGGCCCCACGCCAGAATCCCATCCCCGGACCCTGGAATGCGCACCTCTCAGGGCTGGCGCGAGGGGTGGGTTCAGGGAGTTGATATCTGCAGATGCTCAGTAATTTTGCTCCTTGTCTGGCTAGGTGCAAGCAGTCCTGCTCCTCCTGTTCCTCCTCTTTGCTCCTGGGATGCTGCCACTCAGCACATTGCTCCCCTGCCCGTCCCTTAGGAAGGATTTTAGACTTGCCTTAGCTCCCTGTCCCTTGCTGTCAGCTCCCCTGCCCCTCCGTGCCTGGCACATGGTAGATGTTCTGTACCCTTTGCAGAAAGCTCTCACGTGCATCTTCTCCCCAGTGAATCCACTCACCTACTGTGCCATTTATAAGCGGGACAGAGTTAATCCCCACTGTGCAGATGAGGGACCAGGACCCCGAGTGGGAAGGAAGCATACTGACACTGTTCAATCATCTACGATATGTCCGAGGCATCATACCCATTAGTTCTTCATGACATCCTGAGAGGCAGGTATCCTCCCCACTGCATAAATGTGGCTGTGGAGGCTCAGAGAGGGACAGTGCCTTGTCTAAGTTTACATAGCAAGGAACTGGAAGAGGCTGAGTACAAACCCAAGTTTTCCTGACTCCAGGGTCTGGGATTTAGAGTGGATATTTGCAATGTGGAGTCAACAGGTCTGTCCCCCAGGGCTGTTGCAAGGACCAGTGGGGTACTCTGTGAGGGTACCTGGCACTATGTTTAAGGACCAGGAGTAGAAGTGGAATCTTGTTCATCTAATCATATAGAGAACAAGGACAGAAGTTCAGGGAGGGTCGCCACATGCCAAGGTCACAGCAAGCAATCACAGAGCTGGCGCTCACTGCCCCCAGGATCACTCTTTCCCAGTAAAGGGCAGGGGCCATCCCTCCCCAGAGAGTGGAAACTTCCAAAAGCCCCTCTGGCCTGATGGGAGGGTAGACAGAGCAGGCATTTCCGCCATGGTACACCATTCTGCAGCCTGGGGCGGAGAGCTGGAGTCCCAGGGTTTGCCAAGGCCGTTCCACCAGGCCCTTTCAGCACGGCATCCATACCCTGGGGACCTGTCCCAGTTAATCAGCCAACAAGACGCCATGTCAGAGGTCAAGGGAACAGAGCACAATGGTGGTGGTAAATCTCAGAGCTCGGGATGGTCAGAGCTAAACAGAAGAGCCTCTTGCTCCTCTGTGCTTCAAACTTTTAGAAAGCGGCAGACTCTTCAGATGAAATCCACAGCACATTCTGCTCCCACCCCAACCTCCCCACAGTCACCAGCAGCCTCCAGAGGAGCAGCCTGATGGCCGGGAGCTAGCCCGGCCCTCACAGCTGGGCCCTGGTGTTCTTCTGATGGAGATGAACAGTTTCATAGGATGTCAGCTTCAGACAAGGCACCCTGTGACTGTGGTGGGTCAAGACCAATCCAGGCAACTCGATTGCCATGGCTGAGCAAATATGACCATTGTCCTAATGACATCAGTGACCAAACAACCCTCTCCTGGCTGGAGCATGACTGCTGCTGCTTTGCCAATTGCATCCTTAGCTTGGTCTCCTATATAGGATTGATTAAGATGCGCCATCATGGAATTAGCCCTGCTTCTCAACAGCATCTAATTTGCAGCTGAGCCCCGCTCCCACAGACCCTCCCCCAATCACATTATACAAGCCTAAATCCCATAATAGTCCTTTCTCCGCCCTCTTACAGAGACGCCAATCCCATAGGGTTTCTCCCTCACTGCGGTGAGTAACAAACCCAACTATTCACTACAGGTGAGCTCCTGGTGGTCCTCACGGGCAGGGCACCAGCAGATGGATTCCATCAGATCCCACCCCTGCCCCCACCTAACCCTGTGAGAGGCAAAGACCAGAATCCACCACCTCCCTCTATGGGAGAGGAGGCTGAGGTACGTGCCCAAGGTCACAGAGCAGAGTGAACATGTCATTTGTCATCCAAATGGAACACTTTCGAGGGTAAAAGGAGACACTACTAACTAGGTGGGGACAGTGGCGTAAACCAGGACTGTCCTGGACAGGCTATGCGTGTGGTCTCGCAACCAAGCAGAAAGATTGTGGAGGAGCCGGATGGGAGCCAAAGCCTGGCCTGGCCAACACTGTCCCTGCCCCAGCCGCCAGGGCCCTCCCTGGGACAGGGCTAGCGTCTCTTTGGGCTGGTGGGCCAGGCAGCTAGGGGCTCCTGGCTTTCTGCTGAGGTCTGAGGGTGCCCTTCAGGGTGACTCGGGGTGAGGACCCCTCCTGAGGCTCCATCCACACAGCTGTCCCACACGGTCACACAGCTGTGCTCATGCGCACGTTCCAGAGAGTGCCCACAGTGAAGCCTCATTTATCCTGCCCGGAGGGGGACGGCTGGTTTTACATGAAAGAATTTGCAGGTGAGTGAAGGTGACTGCTGTGAACATTGAAAACGTTTTATTTGCGCCTTTCCCACTGGTGCTCATTCTGATGCAGGTCACCCCTCCCATGTGCGAGGGAGCAGAGCCCAGGACCAAGCTGCACCTCACCCTGTCCATGACTCCACGACTCAGGCCTGGAGCAGGAACACCTGCTACAGCAGAGGCTTTCCTACGGGAGGTAGCAATAACCCAGAAAGAAGGGGGAGGGGGTGCCAGGGGCTTGCCCTTCCCTCGGCTGCAACTCCAACCCCGACCCAGAGGCCCAGCCCAGGTGAAGGTCAGCCCTTGCAGAAGGCCCAGGGTGCAAGCTCTGAACGTGGGGACCTGGGGTGAGGCAGTGCTACCGTGCCTGTGCTGGGGCCCAGAGGGGCTGTGCAGAGATCAGCCTGAGAAAAGCGTCCCTCTGTAATGCTGCCGTATGGTGATGCCTTCAGGGGCTGCTCAGGCAGCCAGAGCTATGAGTCCCTGTGCTCGATGGCCCGAGACAGTTGTGTAGGGGCCACTCCACTGCCTCTGGTGTGTCAGCTTTTAACTCCTCTGCTCCCTCCTAGGCTTCTGCTCTGCACTCTGTGCCTAACTTATGAGACACTAGGCTTAGTGGATTGTGAGCCCTTTGAGGGCAAGAACTGTCATGAGTTCACATTTCTTTCCCCTAAAGATCCCGGCTTAGTGTCTGGCGCACAGTAGATGCTCAGTAAATGCCACTGAACCAAATTAGGTGTCAGGAGTTTGAGAGTCAGGGGAGCGGGTATTCCCTGCAAAAGGCTCCTGGGTTCTGGTCACTTCTGTACACCCTCAGTGGCCACTGACCCAGCACGGGAGATACAGGGGTTAGTAAAGCAAAGGAGCAGGCCTTGAGCAGGCCACCACGCTCCACAATAAACGTGTAGGACCAGACCCACAGGTGGCACACAGGAGCCAGGACCAGAGGCGGTGACATCAGGAAAAGCTTTCAGAGGAGGGACGTCTATGCAGGGGTTTGAAGGATGAGCCTGAATTTGCCAGGCAGACAGGGGACCAAGGGCATCCTGGCGGAGGAGACAGTTTGGCAAGGGCAGGGCAGCAGGGTGAGAGTTGGGTGGGGCTGACCAGGGAGAAAGTTGGGAGGTCAGCAATGGTCAGTCATAGAAGGTTTGGGATCCCAGAGCAGCAGGAGCCACAGGAAGGATGCGGGCCAGAGATGCTAGCTGAGTGAAGACGGATCATGCCATCCACTGGGTGGACTAAAAGACTCTCCAGGAACGGGAACCCTGAGAGGCCTTCACAGAGAGTCAGGGACCCAGGGGGTAGCACCAAGGAGGGTTCCTGTTCAGAGGCCAGCTTTGGAGAAAGGCAGAAAAGGCTCTTGAGGGCTCTGGCTGCTGCAGATCTTTTCAATGAATCCTATTTTACCTTCAAAGCTTTAACCAAAAAAAAAAATCCGAACAGCAATGGCCCATTGATATAACCATCCCCTCCCTGTGCATTTCTGTGCAGTTCTCAAAATGCTCTCAGGTCCGCTGTCTCCTATGAACCTCCATCTAAACCCATTTTGCAGATAGGGAAATCAAGGCCCCGTGAGATCACACGGGGTTAGCAGTGGTGCCAGGCTAGCACCCAGGGAGCATTCCATCTCAGCCCTGGGTGTCGAGCTCAAAGCCCAGTTCCTTGTCTGGAAGGGGATCCCCAGGGCTGTCCGGAAGCCCATAGTACAAGTCTTCCTCTTCCTGCTCCCACTCCTCGGCACCTCTGTTCAAAGACTCCTCCTCCTGCTTCTTTGTCCTTGGAGACCGCTGCCGGGAGCTGGGCACGGCTGCCTGCTGCTGCTGCTTCTCTGGCGGCACGTCCTCCGATGTGGGGGCATCAATCAGGGCAAAGTCATGGAAGTGGTCCAGCCGGCGTCTGCAGGTCCCGGGCTCCGGGGGCGGGGGCTGAGGCTCTGTCTCCTCTGGTAGAGCCAGGATGGGGCTGCTGCCCTCACTGGAACCCACATCCAGGTCATCTTGGAAGGAAGCAAGAGGTGCAGGGCCCTGGGGACAGGTCGGGGGGCTGCAGAGGCAAAGGTGGAAAGGGCGAGGGAAGCCCTGAGTCAGACCGCCTAGGTCTAAATCCCATCGCTGCAAGGCCCAGGGTAAATGAGTTCACCTGTCTGGGCCTCACTTTCCTCCCCTGTAAAATGGGGGAAATAAAAATATTCACTCCCATGGTTATCGCTGAGGTTCGGAGCAGACAATGAGTGCAAAACACATTGTGCAATGCCTGGCACACGGTAGGTGCTCAAGAAATGGGCCATTACTATGTTGCTATCCAAACCAGGTCACTCCTCTGCCTCTCCAATCACTAAGGGGTCTCTTCTGGGCCCACAACCCCTGTCACACTGAGTGTCACCTTCTGTTCCCTGGTTTGTCTCCCCTGCTGGATGTGGAAGCTCCTGCAGGGTGGGGGACCATGAAGGCCTGGCAGGGAGTAGGTGCCCACTACAGTAATGTTGGTGGATGAGTGACCACATGGATGAATGAGGAACCAGTCTATGAACATCTGGGGACAGGGTGGGGTGGGGAGCAACCTGCCCAAGGTCACAGAGCACGTAAGCAGCAGAGCCTGGACTGGGGCTCTGGTCCTCTGGCTCCCCATCCTCTGGCTTCCCATCCTGGCTCATCCTGGCTCCTCATGGTGAGCATTCAGAGAACTCTGAAGTGGGAGTGAGCATTCCCACGGGTGGAAACTGAGGCTCAGGAAGGTAAAAAACTTTCAAAGGTTACCCTGGAGAGGAGCTGGGATTTGAACCCAGGCGTCCGCTACACCTGCTGCTTCTCTGGGTGTCCCAAACGTCTTATCCAAATTCCACCCCCTCCCCGACCCTGCAGTGGCCCACAGCCCTCCTCCTTCACCCCAGCCCTGGGCAGCAGCCCCACTGCTGCTCAGAACACTTGCCTGGGCCTGTCTTGACTCAGGTTTCCTTCTGCCCCGTCCTGGTCCGAGCCCCTGTGGATGACCACAGCGGCTTCCAACCAGGCCTGAGGGTCGTGAGGGCCGCCTTCTCTTCCATCACTGGCTCCCAGCTGTGACTGTCCCTGCTCAGGGGCCAGTAGCGGGCGGGGGTCCTCACTGTAGCCCATGACCTTCATCTGGATGTGGCTGAAGTCGGGCAGGCTCTGGTCATAGGCGGCTTCCTCCCACAGCCTGACGTAAGGGGGCTGGGGGCTGGGGGAATGGTGCACAGCAGACAGCGGGAGAGAGAACAGGCAGGTGGGCAAAGATTCGCTCAACAGACAGCAGTGTTGTCCCCTGGCCCAGCTGCTCCGGGCATCCCGCTGGGGGTCGTTACTGTACCCAGTTCACAGATGAGGAGGCTGAGACCCAGTAAGGTAAGGTAAGTGGCAAAGTCAGACCCTCAGTCCCATGTTCCTTTCACCCAAAATCTCCAAAGTTAGCCCCAGGGGTGTGGCTGCAAAATGAAGACCAGTTCACATTGACTGCGAGTTTGCTGGTCCAGACGCGGGCCTGAGGCTTTATGCTTATTATCCCATTTTTTCTGAACAACCTTGAAGCAGAACGGTTGTTCCCACTTTTTAGCAGTGACAGCCCAGCTACTGAGTGCTTCTTGCTGGCCAGGCTGTGTCAGTGAGCTCCTCTAACCCTCACCGTAGCTCTGGGGGACAACTGAGGCACAGACACTTGAGCTGGCTTGCCCAAGTGACTCAGACCTAGGCGGTGGTGCTGGTGCTCCAAGTGCCACTTTCTCTACCGCTCTCTATGGTCCAGAGCTGGGGAGTGACAGGGAGGAGCACAGACTCGGGGCAGCCTGAGCCCCAGTCCTGGTGCAGCAGCTCGTCCCGTGTGACCAGTCCTGAGGCTGATCCCACACCCAGCCATCCATAGTCTATCTGCCTCATTCCCCTGGGACATCTGGTCACCTGTGTACCAGAAACAGAAAATACCATCACCACCTCCTTCCCCAAGCAAAGCAGAGTCCCAGAGCCCCGGCCACGGACCCTGAACCTGCAGCCTGGCCCTCTGAGCACAGAGTCACAGCTTCCAGGGCCAGAGTGCTCTCTGCCGGTCCTGGGCAGACAGTGCTTGGCACCTTTAGGGACCAAGGCAGGTCTGGTCTGGTGTTGACTGACTCTCCGTGAGGTTTGGGGCTTGTGATTGCACATCTTGAACCTCAGTTTCTGCATCTGTATAAAGGGCCCGACATGCCCCACTTCTCAGGATTTCTATGAGAACTGAAGGAAGTGGTAGGTGCAAAATGCCTGACTTGGTCTCTGGTGCTTTGGAAGCACTTCCTACCAATGATGACAAGCTTACTTGTCACCAGAGGGCCTACTGTGCTCTGGGTTCTGTTCTGAGCACTTGGCTTATACAGTCAGCCATCTGTATTGCGAGTTCTGCATTTTCAGATTCAACCAACCATGGATTAAAAATATATTTTTTTAAAGTTCCAGAAAGTTCAAAAAGCAAAACTTGAATTTACTCTACACTGGCAACTATTTACATAGCATTTACATTGTATTTATAACTACTGACATAGCATTTATGTTGTATTAGGTATTAGAAGTAATCTAGAGATGATTTAAAGTATATAGGAGGATATGCATAAATTATAAGCAAATATTATACCATTTTATATCAGGGACTTGAGCATCTGTGGATTTAGGTATCGGAGGGGAGTTCTGGAATCATCCCCCACAGGTACCAAGGGATGACTGTATTATCTCACTGAAGCCTCACTGAAGCCTAGGAGGAAAGAACTATCAGTATCTCTGTTTCACAGATGGGGCAAAGAGAGGCAGGTCGCTTTCCCAAAGTCACCCAGCCCCAAAGTGGCAGAGCCCCAGGTCTGTGCCTTGGCCATCATCACGCCTCTTGTTTTTTGCTATAGAGTAGTAGTCATGGCTGTTTGGGACTTAGGGTCACACCTATCTTTGATTTCTGGCCTGCTGCTAATTCACTGTAAGACAGGACAAAGTCCCTGAGCCTCAGTTTCCTCATCTGTAAAATGGGAACAACAATGCCTAACTCAGGATTGAAAGTTCTAAACAATCTATGATTTCTAATAGTGTGTTCTCACTACATGGGAAGGCAAAGCCAGAGACTGGAGCAAGGGGGTGAGATACCACCCCCCTCCCACCCCCTCTCACTCTCCTCTGCAGGGAGAGAGCGGCCTGAGGGGCTCACTGCCCTCCTCTCCGCTCCATGCCCTTGCTGGAGGGCCCGGCACTCACCTCTTCTTCTCAGCGGCGAGCCTGTTCTCCAGCAGGCCCAGCGCCTTCGGGGACAGGATGTCATGGAAGTCAGAGTCGGCAGGTATGAAGGTGATCTGCAGGACAAAGCGGAGAAGGCATCTCTGCAGATGCCCACACACACGCTCCCCCACAGCATGGGCCTAACCTCTCCACATACCCTGGGAGAGAGGCCTAGCCAGGGAGGCCCCCGACCCCGTTCGACAGGAGGGGACCTGCTCAGGGCCCAGCACCAGTGGGTGGCTGGATCTCTGGGCTTCAGCTCTCACCAGGCTCTCTCTTCACCCAACAAATTCTTACTGAGCGTCTGCTGTGTGCCAGGCACACTTCCAGGCACTAGGGGGCAGCAGTGAGTAAATGAGACAAACACCCCTGGGGGGGGCGGGAGATCATATCTTATCATTTCTTGAGGTCCTCCTCCAGTGCCCAGCAGGTGCCTGACATGGAGTAGACACTTTATCCATATCTGGTGAACAAGTGGGAAGCAGGTCATGTCGTGTTTCTTCACACAGAGGTTGCAACAGGGAACAGAGAAGTGGGTGGCTAAGGCTATGCCCACCACCAGTCCTGATCCCTGAACTTTCAGGGATCAAGAGGTCTCTGCAAGTGCAGTACCATGGGTGGGCACCAGGAGGCAGAGGGGAGGCAGGTCATAAAGGATGCAGTGGATGGGGCAGAAGGAGCCCTGCCTTTGTGGTCTCCGAGATTGGGTGAGAGTCCCTCCTTGGGAAGGTCACCTGTGCTCCTCTGTAGAGTGGGGCTCGCCTTGAAGAGATATTTGCAGCACTGGTCACAGTAGCCAAAAGGTGGAAGCACCCCCAAGTACCCATCAATGGATGAGGAGATAAACAAAATGTGGTATACACACACAAAGGAACATTATTCATCCTTAAAAAAAAAATGAAGTTCTGACACATGCTACAGCATGGATGAACCTTAAGGAAATAAGCCAGTCACAAAAAGATAAATTCCACAGGATTCCTCTTATATGAAGTACCTGGAATAGCCCAATTCATAGAGACAGAGATGGTGGTTGCCGCAGACTGGAGGGAGAGGGGATGAGGAGTTATTGTTTAATGGGTATAGAGTTTCCATTTTATAAGATGAAAAGTGTTCTGGAAATTGGCAGCACAACAATGCAAGTGTAATTAATGCTACTGAACTATGCACTTAAAAATGGTTAAGATGGGAAATTTTATGTTATGTGTATTTTACAATTAAAAAAATAGGGCTAGTCATGCTTGATTCTGGCATTGCTATGAGGATTCCATGAGATAGTCTGTAAGGAGTCTCCAGCATGGTGCCTGGCACATAGTAGCTGCTCAGTAAACAGTAGTTTGATGTTACTGAAGATGAAGTTATCTGACTTCTCTGAGTCTTATTCTCCTCAATTGAAAATTTGTTCAACAAATACTTGAAAAGACCCTACTGTATTATAACATGTTAATAAATAGCAGTTCCTTTTCCCCTTTCCCACAAGGTGAAGTGAGTAAAAGACACTTGCCTGCCAGAGAAAAGGGGAGGAGCTTCCCCTAAAAGTCTGGAAACAAGGCAGGGAGGGGTCTGGGTATCTTCCACACCTGCTAAGTATGCTCTGTACTTGCCAGCTGGCTCTTTATTTCCTAGAAGATGCCCCTTCCTCTGCCTCATTACCTCATGGCCCAGTCGTCGTCCTCCTCCTCCTCATCATAGTCATCACCACCACCATCACCATCTCCATCACCTCCATCACCATCACCACCATCACCACCATCTCCATCAACATCATCACCATCACCTCCATCACCATCACCACCACCATCATCTCCATCAACATCATCACTATCACCATCACCTTCATCACCATCAGCATCAACACTATCACCATCATCATCACTATACAGCATCGTTATCAGTGTCACTGTGTAAAGCCTGGTGGAGAAGAAAACGCCTGAACATCTTAGAGCACAAGTACGTTTAAGAGAAAGGGGACAGGTAGAGCTGAAGCTGGGGAGGGGCAATCAGATCATGAAGACCCCAGAACATCAGTCTAAGAAGTTCAGACTTTACCCAGAAGCAATGGGAGTTAACAGCAGGAGAGTGACAGCCAGATTTGTGTCGAGGCAAAGATGTGAGCAGTCCCCAGATGGAGGGAACAGGAGGATGGAAGGAGGCTCACAGAGAACAAATCCATCATTGGGGGCCTGGTCCTGGGTTCCAGCAGAGCAGGCAGGAGTGGGGAGTGGTGGACCTGTAGGCAGAGGCAGAGGCAGAAGCCAGACAGGGAGAGGCTCTGCCTTCCTAGACAATGTTTCCCCTTCTCCCAGCCTCCTGCCCCATCTCCGCTAATGAGCACCGCATCCCTGACTGTCCCACCTACCAGATTTGTCTGGCTTCTTCCTCCTCTCTTAAGCCCGAGGCTCAGCTGACCACCAAATCTGACTGAGTCTACTTCAGAAATTCATTTGCATATTTGTTTCCATTAATACATGTATGTATATGCATGACTGGGACATTGTGCTGTCCACCAGAGATTGACATATTGTAATTGACTGTACTTCAATAAAAAGTAAATAAATAAAATGATCTAAAAAAAAAAGAAATTCAGTAAAATATGCCAGATGGCAGTGCCTGTGCCACCCCAGCCACAGCAAGTACTGCACATTTGATGACCCGGAAATGTCTTCTCAGCTCCTACAGCCTTGGGGTCAAATTCTGCCTTAGTCTAGGAGACCATCATTTCTCACCTGGAGCAGAGAAGGAGCCTCCCCACTGGCCTGGTCGCTCTTGAACTTCCCCCTCCCTTACGTCAGCCTGATCACTTTCTTGAACTGCAAAGCTGCTCATGTCCCTCTCTTGTCCCACCAACTAAAAGAAAACGTCCAGATTCCCCAGCATGGCATCCCAGGCCCCAGGCCCCGAGCCCCACTCCCTCCCCACCTCACCTTCCTCCCCACACCCTCCAGCAGCTGGGCTGACCCTCTGGTCTTGCTCTTTCACCTCATGCCTTCGATCATGCTATTCCTTCTGCCTGGAATGCTTTCCCCCATCTTTTCTGCATGGTGAACTTCTACTTAACCTACAAATCCCAGCTCATCATCTCTGTGAAGCCCACTCCCTCCCCATCAGGCAGAAAACTGTCTCCTCCGCGAGACCCCCAGCCCCCCAAAGACAGGGACAGCTTAATTCAGGCTGGTATTGGCTACTCCTTACCTCCATACCTTAATTGGCTAATTCTATTCCTTTATATTTCTTTCAATCCAGAAAATTCCCATTTGTCAGGCACTGAGGCAGGGGAGGACCCGGAGGGGAGCTCGGGCACCAGCACTTGCTGGGGGCTCCGCCGAGACAATGTGGAGGATGGGGAGCCCTCGCCTGGCATACCTCCCTGGCTGACGACACACCTTCCTCCCCTAACTTAGTGTGCGGGCCCTAACAGCCTGCGTCCCAGAAATACACACCCGCATCAGCGCACACACCCCTGCACACACACACAGACCCGCCCAAAGCCATGAATATAGGTCCTGAGAGCAGTGCCTCTGAATCGGCTCCAGGCCAGGCGTGATGCCAGGTCCCCTACATACAAGACCCCACTGGTTCCTCCCATTCAACTGTGCAGGCCTCAGGGTGGTGGGGACTCCCTCCACCAAGGTCACAGGAGTGGGGCACAGGAGGAGGGATTTAAATCTGGGCCTGGTAGACACTGAAACATATGCCGTTTCTACCCTGCCATGTGGCCTCCATGGTGCACGAACACGTGAATCCATCAACAGTTACTCATTAATACCCAGCAATAGTCCCTCTCCCCTCCCTCTCCCTCGTCCCCACTGCCACCCGCTCACTCTGCTCACTACCCCAGCCACCTCTGTAAAGGGGGCGAGGGCAGGAGGGACTTCCCCTCCACAGCTCCCACTGGCTGTCACCCTGCTGTCTCCCAGGGTCCAGCCTCCTCACTGGGAGGAGGATGGCGATGGAAGTGGTGGTGATGTGGGTGGCTCGGGCCTCAAGGTCCTCTTCTCATGGTGACCTCTGCTCAGGGCATTGCACAGGCAGAGGCCAGTTGACTGTAAACTGCTCGGTAAATGACTGCAAACCAGCCCAGACCGCCCTGGCGCCGAATGCACATGCTGACTGCCCAGGGCTGCCCATGCAGGGAGCAGGGCTGGGGACAGCTGGACCTGGGCCCCTGGAGCCCCCTCCCTCCTCCCCGAGCCCCCAGCACAGCCTCCCGGGCGGGAGGTGAGGAGGGAGCCACAGGTGGTGGGGGCTGCCTGGGGCCTGGGTCCCTAGATGTCAGGACCAGCAGGGCCCTTAGGATGCACCCCCTTTCCCACCCCCTCTTTCTCACCCACACATTGTACACATGAGGAAACTGAGGCCCAGAGAGGGAAGGGGCTTGACAAAAGTCTCCCAGGCAGTTACAGGCAGAGCCCAAGTTAGAATCGATGCTTCTTTCCTTGTTTCCTTGGGTCTGTCTGACCAGCTGTGTGACCTTGGAAAAGTCACTCAACCTCTCTGGGCACTGAAGGATTACAACTCCTGACATGCCCATTCCACAGCGTTATTGGGAAGATTAATAACAGTAAGGGTGGCAGCCCTTCACCTAAATATAGCACTCTACAGTATACATTTCTACATCCCATCTCTCCTCTGTTCTTCAGTATAACTCCGGAGGCTGGGAGAAATAGGAGCTCTGGGCCTCATCTTGCAGATGAAAGAAACAGGCTCAGAAAGACAAAGGGCACACAAAGAGTTTGGAACAGAGCTGGAACTAGAACTCGGGACTCCCAAACGAGTTCTGTTCTCATCACGGAGTCACTCAAAAGGCTAGGAGCCCATTAATACTCTGCCAGTCCATGCTATCAAGGTGACAGCTGACCCACCCAGAACTCCCAGCTGCCCTGGGACACAGGGAAAGCCTTCCGAGGTGGAGGATTATGCTTTAGATGACATATATCTGAGCTCTGATCCCAACTCGGACACTTCAGAACTGTGGGACCTCACTTTTCTGAGCCTCGGGCTTCTCCACTATAAAACAGAACCTCAGAGGTACCAAAAAGCTCAAGATGAGGACTGAACCGCACCAGGGATGCAGGTGTGCCTGGCAGGTGGCAAGAACCTATGAACTCTGATTTCAGGCACCTGAACTGTGTGTTGGGTTTCACTGTGCCTAGTTCAGGGCTCCAGGTCCAGGGGGCTTCTGATCAATCTTTATGATAAGGGATGGATGGATGATGGATGGATGGATGGGTGGGTGGGTGGATGGATGCCCAGGAGAGTGGAGATAAGAAAAGGTGTAACGAAGGAGGATGGAAAGATGATCGAAGGATGGGGGACTGATGCCTGGAATAGAGGCACAGCTCCAGGCCCTCCTGGGCTCTGGCCCTCAACCCGCCTGTCCCCATAGCCACCTACCTTGGGGTAGCACTGGCACATGTTCCAGATGACGCCCCCAATCACCATGATGCTGCCCATGGCGTAGAAGGTGCCGTAGACCTGGGGCCGGTCATGGCTCATGAGGAACGTGCCAAGGGCCAGCAGGAAGAGCCCCAGCACGATGAAGCCGATGCGGAAGGTCTTCTCATCAGCCATGGCTGCGGCACCACCACAGAGGGGCACTAGGTGAACCAGCCAGACACCGACACACACTCACTCACACTGCAGGAATGACGCTCCAGGATCACTGCAAATCGGGGCCTGAGGCGAGAGGGAGGAGACGGAGGGCAGGCTCCCTTCAGGTCCAGCTGCGACCCCTGGGCACCCGCTCACCAGGCTGAAGGAGCTATGCCTGGATGGCTGCGTGCCCCCACCTTCACTCCCTCTCACCTTCTCTCTGGGAGCTTCTGAGAGTCTGAGTGAGGGAAAATTGAGGGAGGGAGGGAGGGAGGGAGGGGGAGGTTCCAGGGGCTGGGCCCCAGCCAAGGCTTTGACATCACCTCATTTGCCTGTGTGGGGCCGAGCTGAGTGGACAGGCGCCCCACACCTTCCAGCCAGGGGAAGCAAGGTACAGGGCTGCAGCCCAAAGACATCAGGATGCCGCTGGAGGGTTCCAGGATCCTTCGGGCTGGCATTTGATAATCCTGAAGTTTAGATTCTTCGAGGTCATGTGTCCATCTGGGGTTCAGGAAGAACAGCTCCTATTGACTGGATGGTGGCTGCACATATGCAGTTCTAAGTATGTGACAGGTTTTAACTCATTTAAGGAAACCCAGGAAGTAGGTACTATCCCGACTTTACCAATGAAGACACAGACAAGTAAGTTGCCCAAGGTCACAAGCTAGAAATGGCAGAGCAGCTGGGATTTGAACCCAGAAGCTGTCCATGGGTCTACAGTATCGCCACTTGGTGATATTGCCTAACTGTAGCACAAGGGTTTAAAGTGTGGGCTCTGGTGGCCAGACAGCCTGGGCTTGGGTTCTGGCTCCTGTACTATGGGGCAGTGTGATCTTGACCAAGTTACCTCTCTGTGCCTCAGTTTTCCTCTTCTGTACGATGGGAACAATACCAGCAACTCAGAGAACCAGGGCCTCCCCAGGCCTGGCCTCCCTGGGTCTCTCTCCCTTCTCATACTCTGTGTCCCACCCAGGCCTGCTGGCCACAAGATGGCTGTGAAACTCTGGTGCGGTTATGTCGCTGTAGGGTGTGAGTGGTTGTCAGCAATTTCCTTGCCTCCTAACCCAGGAAAATGCCTTAATCCTAAGGATGACACTTTAAAGATGGAATTTCAGTCCTAGGGACAGGCTGATAGGAAAAACCAGATTCCCTTACAGGATTATAGGAAAACGAGGGTCAACAGTATGTCTAAAAGAAAACGTTAACTTGTCATTTGTACAGGGTTGAATTGCTGCTGTGGATTAAAAGGCTTCGTTTCACATCCTGACTCTGTAGGTTTGGGGATTTTCCTGTTCATCATCGTCACCCTCTCCCTCCTCCCCAACACAAGCTGTGCTGGTTCCCAACACCACACCTGTGCTCACACCCTCTGCCTGGTGTTGCTGCACACAGTGCTTTGGGGTTTTGTCATGAAGCACTTCTCCTTCACCAGCCCTCTGGTGAAGACCCAGCACTTAACAGTTTGCAGAGGAGGTCTCCCGTAACAGCCCAGGGGATCTTCCCACTAGGAGGCTGCTGAGGGGTCAGAAAAGGGCTCAGAGGCCCTGCGTGGCATCCAGGTCGGCTTCCCTGGTGAACGTGGGTTGGTGGCTCTGCTTTGCTCTTGACTTTTGTCATTGGTGGACTGAAGGTGGAATCAGGCCACCTCCCAGGGGTTGTGAGGGAAGTGACATGATGGAGGGGAGAATGCTTTGTAATCTGTAATTATTAACAGGGCAAGACCCTCGAGGGAACCACTATTATCATCTTATACAGGCTCAGAGAAGGGAAGAGAAGAGTGCTCCTTCCAGAAAAGGAGACCAGGGCCCAGAGGGGCCTCAGCCTGCCCTTTCCGGAGCCCCCGCCGGCCCGCGGCGGGAATAGATCTCCATCAGGAGCCCCTCGCGCCCCTCTGGTGGCCATCGTAGCACGCGCGATGCTTTCACACAATGTCGGTCTTGCCTCAGCCCTGCAGCCCAGGGAGGGGTGCAGGGGAGGGGTTATCCTGCCTAATTCACAGGCGAGGAAACTGAGCCCGAGGAGTGGCAAGGACTGACCAAGGTCTCCCCAAACTGAGCTGGGGGCTGACGCAGCCCCAGGCAGCCCCAGGCAGCCCCAGCCCCATTGTAGATGGATCTGGTCCTTAGCCCTTCTTCAGAGGCTTCTCTGTCTCCCCACCATTCCTTTCCTCTCCTTTCCCCCATTTCTTTCCTTAAGAAGGGGAATGGAGGAGGAGGGGAGTGACAATGAGTAAGAAGCTCTGGGACAAGTAGGTGTCGGTAAAATGGGTCTACTCTAACCTCTTCCACAGAGCCGCGGTGAGGACTAAGTGGGGACACGTGCGTAGGGCGCATTGTTAGTGTTCCCACTCCCCTCCCACCTCTCTCTGACTTCTACCTTCCTCCCGCACAAAGCAGGGTGAGCGGGAGGAGTGGTTGCGGAGTCTGCCATTTTCCAGCAGAGGGCGCGCTAACCACTGTTTTCTTCTGTCTACAGACTTCAAAGTCATGCAAAGATCCTCCCAGCTGCCTCTGTGGGGAGAAAGACTACACCCATTTGACAGATGCAGAAACTGAGGCTTATGGACGCAAAGAAAGTGGCTCAATATTGCAGAACCTGTAAATAACAGAGACAGGGCTGAAAGCAGGCCCCCAGTCAGTCTCTTGTTGAGTACCTACTATGTGGAGGACACTCTGAAGTGTGAGGCATCTGATAAACATGCGTTTTGATGGCACTTGGTCTGACCTTCTGGGGCACAATATGATAAAGGCTGTGAGATATGCCTGAGGTCCTGCATGTGCACAAGGCAGAGAGAGGGGTAGACTGGGGAGAGGGAGAAATGAAGGGAGATTCACAGGAGGGATTCTTGAGAAGCCAGTTGGAGTTCTTCCATCAGGGCAGGAAAAGCAGTTCAGGCAAAGATACCAGCGTATGCAAAGGCCCAGAGGCAAGTAAGCACTGATACATAGATGGAGGTAAAACTCTAAATACTATGCATGCACTCACCCTTGCCCAGCATACTCCTCCCCTTGCTCCCCAACCTGTGCCTCCATGTCAACTCCCTCCTTCCAGTGTGACCCAGGCCACCACCTGGATATCCTGGCCAGCATTCTCACCTCCTCTCTCACACCCACATCCTATTGGCTCTACCTTGGAGATATAAGAATCCGATCACTTCTCACCTCCTACTACAGCCGATCACCCTGGTCTGAGCCTCATCATCTCTGTCCCCCTAAGTGGTCTCTGCTTCTACCTTTGTTGGCTAAAGTCTCATCCCAACCCAAATGCCAGGTCAGACCATGTCACTCCCCTGCTCAGAACCCTAGAATGGCTCCCTGTCTTATCAGAGTAAAAGCCAAGACTTAAAGGACAGACAGGGATTTCAAAATGTAGAATAGATAAACAAGATCATACTGTATAGCACAGGGAAATATATAACAAGATCTTGTGGTAGCTCAGAGTGAAAAAAAATGTGACAATGAGTATATGTATGTTCATGTATAACTGAAAAATTGTGCTCTACACTGGAATTTGACACATTGTAAAATGACTATAACTCAATAAAAAAAAGTTAAAAAGAAAAAAAAGCCAAGACTTAAAATGGCCTACAGAGCCCTAGACAATTTGCCCACACTGCCCACCCCATGACCCCTCTGAGATAGTCTCCTGCCACACCTCCCCTCACTCACTCCACCCTAGGCACCCTGGCTCCATGCTGTTCTGGGAACACACAGGCACCCCAGGCCCTTTGCACCTACTCTTCCTCTGCCTGGAAAGCAGTTCCTCCAGATATCTGCACAGCTCCCTCCCTTACCTCCTTCAAGTCTCTGTCCAAATGTCAGCTTCACAATGAGGCCTTCTCTGGTGTGATATCTAAAACTGTAGAACCCCCTCCCCCAGGTATTCCCTGTCCCTCTTTCCCAACTGATTTTCCTCCAAAGTGCTGGTCACCATCTATCATTCTGTACATATCGTTTATTTATCTTGTCTCTTGTCTGTCTTCCCCAACTGGAACTCAGGCTCCCACAGCCTGGGGAGTTGGTTTTGTTCATTGCTGTACCCCCAGGGCCCAGAACTGCTCGGCTCATATTTGGGAATGGAGGGGTGGCGCTCAGTTCCAGAGGAGAGGGAGGCCGGAGAAGAGGCACAGACAAGACACCTCTTGGCTTCAGGCTAAGATAGACAGCCAACATCTTTCAGAGGCCAATGGGGAGCCTCCAAGGGAGTGATGGACTGGATTTTGCATTTTATATTGATCCTCTAGTTCTAAGATCAGGTTGGAAGAAGCAAGAGGAGATGGTGGAATTGAGGGGCAGTTGCCAGAGCTGTAGTAGAAACCTGCACAGGGAAAGATTAAAGTTAACACTTTTTAAAGAGTAATTCATTACTGGGGGGGTAGAAAGAAGGGTAAGGGAGTTCCTGTCTGGGAAATTTCCAACGGATGTGGGTGGAGCGACCCTGGGGGCAGGGTCACCGGCTCACTCAGAGGTAAACAGGCGAAGGAGGGGCCTAGGGAAAGCGTGGGAGAAGCCTGAGCTCAGTGGGTCCCTGATGTACCAGGCCTGGCGGCAGGCACCAGCGGTGAGCTCTGAGTAGTGGGTGAAGAGACAGGTCAGCAGGGCCCAGGAGGAAAGAGACCAGGAAGCAGACCAGCATCTATGCGGGGTCAGAGTTGTGAAGGAAAAGCCCAGCTGGGCTAACAAGCTAAGTCATAAATCTAAGTGTGATAAGTGTCGGTTTACTGATCTAAGTTATGCCGGGCTAACTCGTAAATCTGAAGTTTAGTGTCAGTTTACTGGGCTAACAAGCTAACTCGTAAATCCAAGCTCAACAAGTGTCAGTAACGTGATCTGTTCCAAATTGATAAGCTCCAGTGTACTGATTCCTTGCTTTTTGTTGTTTGAGCCTTATTGGCTCAATTAAGCCCCATATTTGTAATTAACCCTATAAAACCTCATGTGCATGTCTTGGAGGTGCTGAGAGCTTCGGAGCAGAAGCCCCTCTGAGCCCGCCAGCGTAATAAATCTGAGTACTCCAACCCTCAGAGTGGTGCTTGTTTCTTGGCTGGCCTGTCATTTCCATAACATTTCTGGAGGCCCCAGCGAGATACAACCACGCCGGCCCCTTGAGCCGCTGGACTGGTGGCTCCGGCCGACCGGGGGACGGGATTCCGGCAGCGAACGAGGTGGCGCCACCCGACGGTATTCCGGGTTTTCCTTCGTGACGGCAACTCAGCCCCCTCAGGTGGCTGGGCTACAACCAGAGCCAGACTCCGTGGAGGGATGGACAGACTCACCAGGTGGCCGTCCGGACAAGGTAGGAACCCCCGGGAGGAATCAGGTCCTGTCCCATTGGACAGAAGAGGAGGCTGATCCCCTCCTACAGGAAACAGGATATTGGAATTGGTGGGAGGACTGTTGTTAACCTCTGTGTGTGTGTGTGTGTGTGTGTGTGTTTGTGAATGAGTGGTCTGTGAAGCATGCAATCAGGCTCGAGTTTGTAGCTCCACGGCATTCTGCTACGGAGTTCGAGTGAGTCCCAACCTGCGGTTCCGTGGTGACCTCATATGGCTCAGGGCGGTATTGGTCCCTCAGGA